AATACACGTCAATGGAAGATAGAGGTAACATCTTACCTATAATGTTACTAATATAATATACTTTGATTATAATGTTTGTATCATAATTTCTTAAAAATATCAAGTTAGTGGATTAATAGCCAATTTTAGACATATATTTTATCGAAGAGTGTGTTGATAAGACTAAAATAAGCTTTGTTTTATCTTTTTCTCTTTAGAAGGGAGATAGTTTGTGCCGTAGAATACATTACAGTATTTAATATCGTGTACTTTGATATTCTTTTCTTAATTTACTGTAATTTCTTGGTTCGTATAATGCCAAATCTTGACATGGTGAAGGTTGAGTTTTGATCTTATTAGTTTTATACCTGTGTTTATACAAGACCAAATTAAGACTTAGTTAGTTTGTGATTTATATTAAGATCTTTCTTATAATATTTGTCTTAAACTTAATACTATATTATGCTTTGTGTGGAAAATAAATGTTAAAATATCTTAATTTTGCATATCCTATTCCATCCTTCCATTAGGAAAAATATATGGTTTATAAATCATGAAAATTAAATAAATTAGGTGTAAGAATAAAGAAAACTTAAGGTAGCAGAAAAATAATGCAATATATGTATAAGCAGAATTAAACAAGGTAACTGTAAATGTTGCTGAAGCTGATTCTACAATTTTAATTACGGAGGCTAAAATGCCTTTTAAGGCCTCCGTAGTTTTGATGGAATGTTAAAAAAACTATTATGAACATGACATGGAGCTACAGCATTTAAAAATTTAAAAAAAAGAAAAAACTTGGACACATCCCTTTTAATTTCCCGAATTTTTAATAAAGCACTTTTTAAACGTAGCATTATAATCTAGATCAATTAGATTAATTATAGGAATCTAGAATTTTATTTCTATTTAATTTTATTGACTATGAAAATACATAATAAGCATTCACGTTTCACGTGTTGTGCGAAATATTAAAATAATAATAGAAATAATATACCGCGTACTATGATTGAAAAAAATAGCGTCAGCGATGACTATGAAATGAAGATCCTATCCTTTTATATGGGAAATGTCCTCAATCGTCATTTCCTAGCCAACTAGACGCTGTTTTTTCGATCATACTGTATATATTGACAAAACACACTGAAAAGCACATATTTGTTTTCTACTGAAAATAATTCCAAAATAACTTGCAATCTGGCAACGTCGAAGATGTGCGCCTGCGTAGTGTCTGTGACTATATACAGCAAAAACTCGTTTCAAGGTCAGCCACCGGATCCACACCATTACCAAATTTTATGTTTTTGGCTAATCCAGGGCTGATCCAAAGGCTGATCTATAAAAAACTGCTGGCAACTGCTGGGTAAAGGCTGGTAAAGGCCCTTGACCGGTAATGGTGTGGATTCGGTGGCTGACCTTGAAACGAGTTTTTGCTGCATATAGTCACAGACACTACGCATGCGCACATCTTCGATGTTGCCAGTTTGCAAGTTATTTTGAAATTATTTTCAGTAGAAAACAAATATGTGCTTTTTAGTAGCGATGGGAACTATCGAATGAATTAGACTATCGAATGGTTAATGAATGAATGATTTCAACTATCGAATGGTTTTATTCGAATAAAATCATTCATTCATTTGTAAGCCTAATGTGACAAAATGGTTATCGTTGAGCCAAGACTATCGAATGCTTTTGATAAATGAAATTTAGTATTCGTTTGATTTTTGTATGCGTCAGTGCATTATTAGTTCCTCCAAATTTTTATAACTTCGCCGTATAAATACTGTGCTATTTTTGCGTTTATTAAAATAGTAAATATACTAAAATAGTAGTTATTTTTTAATTTTATTTATTGACGATTGTGTGCATGTGCAGGTGGTCAAAATTTTTCCGAAAATTTGTGTGGTTTTCCGTAGTCCGATCTTTCAATTCTTTAATTTTATATGGTAAATGGTCTATTTTTTAATGGGAAATTTTGAGAAGTAGCAATTTTTTAGAGAGATGAGATGAGCTTAAAATTAATTTTAAAAATACATATTTGTATTTTAGATGTTTTAATAATATGAATTAGTTGAACTTAATAATCATATTTAAGTAATATGGTTAAGTAAATGGTTATCGAACTCAAACTATGGGGTGAGAAAATTAAAATGAAAGTTTTACACGTGCCAATTTAAAAAAAAAGTTAACGATGTTTGTATTTTGTTTATGCTAATTCTCTTACATGTAGTTTTTTGCGAAGAAATATTTCATTTATTTTTTAAAGTAAATGCCAGTAAAAGTAAATATAATTTTTAAATAGAAATATGAAGCACCTAATATAAATAATTTTGATTTCTAATTTTTTATTTATATTTTCGTTCCATTACACTGCATGATTAGAAAATTAATAAATGTTTATATTTCATGATTTTAAAATTTGTTGTTAATATAACAAATTAGTTCTGTAATTATTATTATTCAATAAACCAACGTTGCCAAAAAATTTAGAGACTATATTATTTTTAAATAGGATCTAATATAAATAATTTTGACATCTAATTTGTTGTTTATATTTTGCTAATACTTAAAAAAAATATTTATATTAAATCATTTTAAATTTTGTTGTTAATAGGTATAACAAATTATTACTGTTATTATTATTTATTAAACCAGTCTTTGCTTAAAAACATTAAAAATCATTTTCTTACATCCAAAATAACAAGTATTATTGCAGTGTAACAACAGGATATTAATAAAAAAAAATTCAGAATATATAGACATACTATCCCTAACTAACTAAAGCCAAACAATAATATTCTTTGCTAATATCAACTAATACCAAAATATGGCAACAGCGCCCTTCATAATGTATTTTCTGTGTAAATACTAGCACCTCAATAAAAAAAATAATGTGTCGTTATCTATATCTGACTCCGCAAAAAATCAAAGATGCCGGCTTCTTTCATAGCATTGCCACCGACCGCTGTCGGGTTTGGAAACCTACGTCGCCGGGCGACAACTAAAATTCAGTTAATATTTTATTATAATCGATCCTGACGAATGAATGAATTTCATAAATGAATGAATTTTATAAATGAATGGTTTTTGCTGCCGAATTACTAGAATACAATATTTCAAGGCAGATGACGGATCTATTCGATAATTTTTATTCGAATAGTTTTCAACGAATGTTTTCTTACTATCGAATTATTCGAATGAATTGCAACTATCGAATGTTTCGATAGTATTCATTCGATAGTTCCCACTACTACTTTTTAGTGTTTTTTTTGTCAATATATACCGTATGATCGAAAAAAAAGGCGTCTAGTTGGCTGGGAAATGACGATTGAGGACATTTCCCTTTGATATTTCCCATATAAAATGACAGCGATCTTCATTTCATAGTCATCGCTGAGTATTTTCAGTTATAGTACGCCGGTATATTATTTATATTATTATTTTAATATTTCGCACAACACTTGAACGCTTATTATGTATTTTCATAGTCAATAAAATTAAATAGAAATAAAACTCTAGATTCCTATAATTAATTTAATTGCTCTAGATTATTAGCTATACGGGCTATACGTTTATAAAGGGCTTTATTAAAATTCGGGAAAATTAAAAAAAAAGTTTTTTCTTTTTTTTTAATTTTCAAATGCTGTAGCTCAATGTCATGTTCATAATAGTTTTTTTTAACATTCCATCAAAACTACGGAGGCCTTAAAAGGCCTTTTAGCCTCCGTAATTAAAATTGTAGAATCAGCTTCAGCAACATTAACAGTTACCTTGTTTAATTCTGCTTATACATATATTGTATTAATTTTTCTGCTACCTTAAGATTTCTCTATTCTTATACCTAATTTATGTGATTTTCTTAGCATATATGATTTATAAACCATATTTTTCCTAATGGAAGGATAATGAATAGGATATGCAAAATTAAGATATTTTAACATTTATTTTCCAGACAAAGCATAATATAGTATTAAGATTAAGACATAACAAATATCATAAGAAAGATCTTAATATAAATCACAAACTAACTAAGTCTTAATTTGGTCTTGTATAAACACAGGTATAAAACTAATAAGATCAAAACTAAACCTTCACCATATTGTCAAAATTTGGCATTATAGGAAACAAGAAATTACAGTAAATTAAGATCAAAGTAGACGAGATTAAATACTGTAATGTATTCTACGACACAAAAACCATCTCCCTTCTAAAGAGAAAAAGATAAAACATAAAGCTTATTTTAGTCTTATCAACACGACACTCTTCCATAAAATATATGTCTAAAATTGCTATTAATCCACTAACTTGATATTTTTAAGAAATTATGATACAAACATTATAATCAAAGTATATGATATTAGTAACATTATAGGTAAAATGTTACCTCTATCTCCGATTGACGTGTATTGTTCTATAAGACTCGTCATGGTAGTACTTCAATACATCAATACATATAATCAAAACTATTGTTGCCTGTAAATAACTAGAAATTAAATAACTTGAAAGAAATAAAATAATTCTAGTAAGTTTAAAACCATTAAGAAAAAATCCATAAATGATAATTTTTAATTCTAATGTAAATATATAAATAAATGTTATTATTACAAAATTTTATATATTCATAATACTTTCATTTCGCAATCTTCATTATCTGTCTTACCTTAATTTTGGATATCAAGATAAATCTGAAATTATAACATTAATTATAGAATTTGTATTATTATTGATCAACACAAAAAAAAAATTCAACTGCAAATAATTCGAAAATAAACTGCAATTTGGCAACATCGAGGATGTGCGCTTGCGTAGTATCGATGATCAAAAGCAGCAAATATCGGCTTCAAGGTCAGCCACCGGATCCACACCTTTACCCCTTGACCTTTACCAATATTCCATTTCCGGTATTACCCCATTTCCATATCTCTGATTACGATTGGCCTCCTAAGGGCCTCCTCTTTCCTCCTTGGTCCTCCTCCTTTAAACCTTCCATATTTTTTACCATTGGCAATCTTGTTTTTTTTGTTTCTTTTTATGAGAACGTGGTGAGAACTGTCAATTGACTGTCAACTGCCATCGTCAGTTTTAATTTTCCATAGCTTTAATTATAGTTTCACGTGTTAATAAAAGGTAATTTTGATTTACATGCACAAGTTTTAAATATGCCCACGACTTCCTAAAGTATCTATATCCAATTTTAACTTGCAAATTTTCAATGTCAGATAGTTCCACAGAACAAGTTAAAAAGTTTGTTTTTACCTCCGGTAAAAATTCAGAAGAAATTCTAGAAATATTTATCCCAGAGGTATAATTATTTTTGATTGTATATTTAATTATTAACATAACATATTGCTAATTATTTTGGTGTGGGATTATTGGTAACGAATTAAAATAATTTAGGCATAGTGGGCAGCCTATATGGTATTTAACTTGATTTTACTTTAAACAAATAATGATTTTCTTTTGCAGCTTGTTCAGGCTAGCTATTCCTTTTATACTTGGCCATCAGCAACAGTTTTAGCTTGGTTTTTGTGGGAAAATCGTGGAGAGCTGCAAGGAAAGAAACTTCTAGAATTAGGAGCTGGAACAGCTCTACCAGGAATTTTAGCTGCTAAATGTGGTGCTATTGTTACCCTAAGCGATTCTGCTACACTTCCCAAGAGTATAGCACATACTAAGAGAAGTTGCCATTTAAATAACCTAGCTTTAAACGAACAAATTAAAGTAATAGGCCTAACTTGGGGATTGTTCCTGAGCAATTTAGATAGTATTGGCCCATTGGACTTAATTCTAGGTTCAGATTGTTTTTTTGAACCTGCAAATTTTGAAGATATTATTGTAACTGTTGCATACTTGATAGAAAAAAATCCAGGATCAAAATTTATTTGTACTTATCAAGAGAGAAGTTCAGACTGGTCTATTGAACATTTACTTGAAAAGTGGAATTTCACTTGTAAAATTCATAATATAGGAACGTTAGGGGCACAGTCAGGTATAGATATTCATGAGTTTATTGGGGGACACAGCATACATTTACTAGAGATAACACAAAAATCTTAAAATGGCTGGTAATGCATCTCGGATATATAAACTTTATGTGAGTAATATTCCATGGACAGTAAGCCATTTTGAATTACGCCAATATTTCAGTAAATTTGGACCAGTCAGTTTAGCCAATGTGGTTTTTGATAAGAGTACAGGGCTATCTAAGAATTTTGGATTTGTTCAATTCGGTAATAAAGAGGGTTTTGATAATGCTCAGAGTTTTACCCCACACAAATTAGAAGGCAATACATTAAAAGTTCAACCAGCTAGCCAAGAAGAGTAGTGCAAAAACTTTATATTAAAATAATAGGTAGTATAATTCAAGAAAATGGCAAACCAAGCAGTAGATGATTATAGTGATCTAATAGATTTAGGAATTGATGTAAATGAAGATGACATATTGAATAACAAATTTAATAAATGTGTTATGCATATACAGAGCATTGCAGGGAGTTTGGCAAATGAGACATTACTTAAACTATATGCTTTCTATAAGCAAAGCAATGATGGACAGTGTAATATTCCTAAACCATCATGGTATGATATGAAAGGTAAGGCCAAATGGGAAGCATGGATCAGTTTAGGAAATATGTCTAAAAATGAAGCAAAAATTAAATATATTAATTCAGTAGTGGAAATATGTCCTGATTTGAGCTTAGAAGAGACTCAAAGTAAACCAGAAACATGGATTAAAGTTTCTTCGATGGCTCAAAATGATCATTCGCCTTCAGAAAAAGATATTTGTGATTATATTCGTAGTAGTGACTGTAAAAATGTCAGAGAGTACTTGGTAGTAAATAGCAACTGCAAAAATAAATTGGATAAAAATGGAATGGGGTTGCTACATTATGCTTCCGACATTGGTAATTTGAAAATATTGGAATTGTTGGCTTCTGAGGGACTGAATATAAATCTTCAGGTAGAAATATATAAGTATAGTTCATGGAAAATATTTTTTTAATGTTTGTTTCTGTAGGATTCCGATGGTCAAACTCCATTACATTATGCTGCCAGCTGTGGTCATATTGATTGCATAAAGTTTCTTTTATCTAAAGGAGCTAGATGTGACATAACTGATGCTGAAAATTGCACTCCAATAGAGGTTGCCTGTGATGACTCTGTTAAAGCAATGTTAACCGACTAATTAATTTTTCTGTTGTGTAGCTCCCATTTATAATGTATCAATCTGTCAACTTTATAAATAAATAAATATAATTTAAGGAAAAAAGGAAATTTTACTTAAAATTGCTATATTCTAAAATACAATACTTATAAACTTGGTAAATTCAATAATTTCTTAACAGCTTCTCCATATTTTCCAATAGTATAGTCATTTTCTCCTGTAATATAATACTCATTGCATTACATGATATATCATTAGAAGTAAATTATTACCTTCGTTCATATAATAAGTTACAGCTTTTGAATACTCTTCAATATTTGGTATTTCCTCAACTTTTTGACCAAATAATGCTTCTACGCTTTGTTTGGATGCATTATTCTCCCAGATATAGTGCTCCATATCTGCCTCAGATTTTAATTCTTCCCATGGTTCAACTTTCTAGGAATGATATTAAAATAAAAACTTGATGTTTAAACAGATTTAAAAAAAATATTTACTTTTGATTCATGATACAGTGCTGTTAACAAATATAAAGCGTAATCATAGTTTTGTTTTCTCAAAGGGCATCGATCAGTAACAATGGTCACTGTATCATTAGCTTCATTGTATCTATCTCCAACCAATCTTAAAAGGCAAATTAATAAAGTTAGTCATGACAGGGTAGAAAATAATTTGATCAATTGACTACTAACTAGTTTAGAGCTGGATACACAACAGTAGAATTTTTACATATTTAAGTTGTAAATTTGTAAAAATTCTATTGTTTTGTATTCAGCTCTAAACTCTACTGTTCACTGTGATAAAGGCATGATAAGTGATAATCTTATATTTCATCTAATAAAATTTATATTGGTCTTGTTCATTAATTAAGAAATATGAAGTGTTATTGTAAATCTAATGGTAATTTTTGTAAGTGTTCTGCGAATTGTTAAATTCTATACTTTAGTACCTTTCTAATTGATTATTGCTTTTTTAAGAGAGAGCCATAATGTGCCATAATCACTTCAATAATATCTATTCCATATTAAATAAAGAAAATTCTTATTCAATTCATTAATATTATATTACTTACCTCCTAAATTTATCTGTTTCTCTTTCATTTAATTTTAAACTTTTCAATTTGAATCTTATAGTTACTATTCTAGCCAAAGGATCTCTAATTGTGGGACTACTATGACAATAATCGCTAGAAGTCACCTCCACTGGAAAGAATTTCTCCATTTGTTCTACAGATTTAAGACTTTTTGGCCAAGGCGTGCAAAACTTTTTTAAGGCTTCACATTGACGTTTGATAACTGGTGGAGTTAAATGTAAAAAGTTTGGTATCTTCATTAACTCTGCATTGGCATATTTATCAGGAGGTGCCCCCTTTTCTACATATCCCTGTCTTACAGGTAAGGGAACGGAAGCTGGATGAAAACTTCTAGGACCAGGCCAGACACTGCCCCAATCTTGATCTATTGGCATTTGATTTGTTCTAAAAATTAGCAAGATTTTAAAATGGTATACATTATATTTCTTGCTTCACAGTCTATTCTATACCTAGGGTCTGGTAAAGGTGGTCTCTGAAAGGGCTTCCTAATAGTTCGATTTGTTTTCACGTTGTATAAATTAAGTGCCTTAAATTCGTCTATAAAAACATTATATGTGGAATATTATGCCAACTAAAAGTAATTCTCGTTATCTTACCATTTTTACTTTGAGGAGCATTATGGTATTGTAAAATAATCTGCTTTTCCAAGTTTTTGAAATTAATTTTTTCTAAATTCCTGGCTAAATTGAACATTTTGAAAAAATATTGTTATAAAAACTAACCTAAAAACTAAAAATGTTGTCATCAGGTTGTATTATGTAGATAGGGATTATGGAGTCTAAAAGGAGGAGGCGAATCGAACGCAAAAATTATGGGCCCAGTTTTTGAGATCTAAATGAAGTTCGAAAATCGCCGTTAGGGGCGCTTGTGATGATTGGGATACTAGAAATACACAGCTTCTTATGGCAAGAATAACTATTTTGTTATAAATTATAGAGCCAAGTTAATATTTGAAGCTGCTAAAATAAATCTTCCCTAGAACTGTTGTACAAAAAGATAGAAGTTCCAGCAACAAATTTATCACCAGTTCAACCTTTGATTTGATGTAAACAGTAATTGTTTCTTGATGAGAAATGCGAATGAAATAGTTTATGGTGTGATTGTGTTAGTGTTTTATTAATAGTTTTGTTGATGCAGTTTAAAGGTTCATAGTTTTTCATTAAAACATTTGAAATTGACATGTTTACATGCAGTTTAGTGTGATACCATTTTAATAAACATTAAAATCTTTCGAACTAGTAGTGGTTTTATGGCGATTGACAGATTGAATAACGAAAATTAAGAGTATTTTATCAGGAATAACTTAATCATAAATGGAAACTGAAGACTAACGTTACCATTGCACCCTTTGATCGGTGTTATCTATTCCATAACTTTTTATAGCTGAAACTAGAGAGTAGGTATATTGAGCTGAAACGTTTCCTGTGTTCAATAGCGTTTTTTCTAGCGTTGAATTGTAAGTTTTAATGTCATTAGCAAAGTTTTGCAAATTGTCACTGTTTCAGACAATTAAATTCAAGATATATTATATTCAATGTCACCTAATAATTGTAAAGGTTTTTCTATTGATATTCACTTTATTAATATAAGGTAGGTTTGTAAATAAAATATTAATGAATAAATAATGTACTCAGTTTATTTCAAAAGCACAAAAATACAGAGTTGTGAATATGTATATACGCTGACTTATTTCATCATATAAATATTTATTTAGCAATATTAATACATTACAACTTTTGTTTCTATTAACTAAGAAAAAAAACTTTTTCAGTTGCTTCACTCCTTACACATGGTGGTTTCCTCTTTCTTTTATTACTAGAGAAATATGAAGGCAGGTTAGGAAAAATTCTTGGAATTGAACCCTCCTTTAATAATGGTCTACCCCGCTCAATTCTACTGATAGTTCCGTCAGTTAATTTGATCTCATAATGAGTCAAAATATCTTCATCTAGAAAATGTAGTTCACAAACAGCATCTTTGCTGCTAAGTGTCTTGTCTGATCTGGGTATCGCCTTTTGCCACTGCTGTAGCAAGCTAGGATCCTAATAAAAGATATATAATTGTTAAATAAAATAAAAAAAAAACATTTTTCACTATTAAAGCTGTTATTTTGAGAATACGATCTTGAAGTATAAATATTTAATATTCACTTTCAATAGCACTGTTCAAACTGTGGTTAATATAGGTACATGTCAACAGGTAATTTTAGCACCTAGTAAGTATTAAATTATTTTAATTTTATAACAAGGCCTCCTAGGTTATGTTATACACATGTTGATTTTAGGCTATATTTCCTATTAATTTGGTTTATAATTTAATCTGTACACTGACAGTATATAATTTTAATGTTTTTCTTAACATCTATCCATAATTTTTATAAATAAATAGTCATACTACTTACATTAGGAGCTTTGAAAAGGCTTGGGTTTCTTTCACCCCGTTCTTTATTTGCCTTGTTTTTATTGGGATTCCCACTTGTACAGCCAGGTACAAAGCAATTTCTACCACGACTCATTGTTGTACTGCTAAAAATTCAGTAAATTAACTATAAATTTTATTAAAAACACAATTAAATCGTATACTAACAATGAAAATGTAGTATCCCAGTCGATCGCAGTGCCTCTGCTGTCAAACCGAGGAAGCTGCTTAAAAGTGGGGACAGAAATTTCAAATTTGCCCATTGCCGATAAATCTCCCATAATAGGGATATTAGGGGTGGCAACGATATATCGATATATTTTCTAAAATATATCGATATAATTATATCGGTAAAGGTATGTGGATCTGGTGGCTGACATGTGGCTGACCTTGAAACGAGTTTTTGCTGCATATAGTCACAGATACTACGTATGCGCACATCGTCGATGTTGCCGGATTGCAGGTTATTTTGGAATTATTTTCAGTAGAAAACAAATAATGGGCGCGTTCAGGGACGGTCAGCGGCTGAGTGGCTGAGTAAGCGGTTTCCCTAAACGGTCTCTTTTTACACGCAAAAACAGTCAGCCGCTGAGTAAAATACTCAGCGGTCGGTTAGCCGCTGTGTTCCCTGAACGCGCACAATGTGTTTTCAGCGTTGTTTGTCAATATATACCGTATGATGGATAAAAACGGCGTATTTCCCATATAAATTTACATATAAAATGACAGCGATCTTCATTTCATAGTCATCGCTGACGCCATTTTTTTTTCGATCATACGGTATTATTTTGGTATTATTTATACCGTATGATCGAGAAAAAACGGCGTCAGCGATGGCTATGGAATGAAGATCGCTGTCATTTTATATGTAAATTTATATGGGAAATGTCATTGATGTTCATTTCTCAGCCAACTGGACTCCGTTTTTTTTCGATCATACCGTATTATTATTTTAATTATTTCACACAATACACGTGAACGCTTTTATTATGTATTTTCATAGTCAATAAAATATATAGAAAAAAACTCTGGATGTTATAATTAATCTAATTGCTCACTATGCTACGTTTAAAAAATGCTTTATTAAAAATTCGAAAAATTAAAATGTGTTAAAGTTTTTTTTAAATTTTTAAATGCTGTAACTCCATATCATATGTTCATAATAGGTTTTATAACATTCCATTAAAACTACGTAGAGTACGTAGGAACGAATAAGGCCTTCAAAAGGCGTCCGTGATTATAATTGTAGAGTCAGAAATATTAATATATAGGTAGGTACCTTGGTTACCTTTTGTTTAATTATCTGCTTATACATATGTATATATTGCATTATTTTTTCTGCAACCTTAAAATTTTTCTATTCTTACACCTAATTTATTTGATTTTCTTAGCATATAATATGATTTATAAAGAATATTTTTCCTAATGGAAGGATTTGCAAGCATAGGCGTACAAGGCGGCCCGGGGGTGCCGGGCCCACCCCACACGTTTCATGTGCTGGACACCCCCAGAAAAATCTTGAATTTTGACTAAATTATGACTCTTGACTAAATATTAATTTTTATTTGCTTGAGATGTAGTAAAAATTACTTTTTTCTAGTTTTGTTTAGTTAATATTATTGTGTTTTGTTCAAAAATTGTGTATTAGCTTTCATTTTTTTACAAAATTTGTAGGTATTTAAGTAATCCACGGTAACACGAGTCTATCAAATTTATTAATAGTTTTAAATGTATTTACAAAACAAAAGCCCTATGCCCCCCCTAGGCCCACCCCAGGATGAATTGCTATAGTTACGCTATTGTTTGCAAGTATTAAAATATCTTAACATTTATTCTCCACACCACAAAGCATAATATGTAGTAGGTATTATGACAAAAAAAAATTATAAGAAATATCTTAATATAAATCATAAACTAATTTAAGTCTTAAGTTTGTCTGTGTATAAATAAATCTAATAAGATCAAAAATGAACCTTCACCATATTATCAAGATTTTGGCATTAGAAAAGAAATTACAGTAAATTAAGAAAAGGATATCAAAGTACAGGATATTAAATACTGTAATGTGTATTTTACGACATAAACCATATCCCTTCTAAAGAGAAAAAGATAAAGCATAAAGCTTATTTTAATCTTATCAGCATTCTTCGATAAAATATATGCCTACAATGGATGTAATTGTAATAAATGTGTCATATTAGTAGTACCAGTAAGAAAAAATCCGCAAATGATATAATAATTTTTAATTCTAATGTAAATATATAAATAAATGTTATTATTATTACAATATTATATTACATATAACTCCAATTACAATCCTAATACTTTAACTTCACAATCTTAACATTATCGTTCTTACCTTAATTTTTGATATCATGATAAATCTGAAATTATAAAATTAATTATAGAATTTGTATTATTTATTATTACTGATTAACACTCAAACACTTCCCCTAGGAGATGCAAGACCTTGTCGTTTTGGTGGGGAAGCTCCTGGTCAGGTGCTGAGGGGAATCACCTCAACCAAGGCGGGTTAGACGATCCGATGAAAGTGGGTCTTAGTGGAGCACAAGCAAAAGCAAGGTGCAAAAAGGAAGCAAAAGCCAAAACTCTCCTTAAAAAAGGAACCAAGAAACAACCTGGCGCATCTCCACCAAAGGGCAAGAGAGGGAGCGAAAACCTCTCCCCTTTGCTCCGGCATGGAGAGAAAAAAGCCAGGATAGAAAGCCGTCCCACACCGAGAAGCAAGCAGGGACGTATCACTAGCTATGTTGCTATTGCTGGACAAGTGAAAATTGCGGTGCTGCCAAAGGATTATCCGGAGGTTGCACTGACCACCGACCAGCTCTAGAACAGGCGATACTGGACAAAATAGTAGCGAACGGATTGCTACGCAACGATCCACAAAGTGTGGGTCAACTGCGCTTTGCGGGGATACACTTTAGGGTGGGCATGGTCCTCATTGATTGTGCATCTGAAAAATCGGCGGATTGGTTGGTGGAAACGGCACCTAAGCTTAAAAATTGGCAGGGGCCGGGACCGGTTGCAATGAGGGGAGAAAACATCCCTAAAGGGACAACCGTCACGGTCTTTCTGCCAAGAAGCAAAGGGGAAAGACACGACCTACTTGCTAGACCTTATCCAGGCTCAGAACGAGACTGTAAGTACATCGAGCTGGCTCAACTCGAAGGAGGAGGGCCATGGTTAGGTCCTCACAATAGGAATTGACCTCAAATCCACGGAGGCAATAGAGAAAGAGGGATACTATCCTCTATTATAGATTCGGGACAGTACCGTTATCAGGTCCAAGGAAAGAACAAGCTAAAGAGGGGGAGAAAATGGAGACAAATACTCCAGCCTCCACCTCACAGGTACCTCAGCCGGAGACAAGCTCCTCGACAGTGAAGGACACGGATGACGAAACTCCAACCGTGGAAGGGTGCATATCCTCGGAGGAGGTTGATGACCACTCCTCGGAGGAGGAACATCTGTTGTCAGGGGGATGGGAAATATCCTGTCTCCCCTACAACAGGGAGGTCCTTACATACCCCAGAAACCTGATGCATGGGATATCCCAAATAAACCTGCACCATGCAAAAGGGTCTTCCTCCACAATCACAAGACTCTTTGAGAAAAACCAACATGTAATGGTACTAGCCCAGGAACCCTGGGTGTATCAGGGACAAATTAAAGGGTTGTCTGGAAAAAATTCCAGTGTAATATACAATGATAACAGGCAGGAATTTCCTCGAGCATGTATTCTTATAAGAAACAACATTAACTACACATGTGTTTCAGAATTTACCACCCGAGATCTTGTTCCAATCATGGTTCGACTTAATATCGAGGATTGTAGCAAAAATATCGTGACTGCCTCTGCATACCTTCCGGGTGATGGGCAGACACCGCCTCCGGAAGTAGAGGAGCTCGCGCGATTCTGCAGCCAACGGCGACTACCTCTGCTATTGGTATGACTCCAATACGTACAATGAGCTATGGGAAAGCACTAATACTAACACTAGAGGTGAGTGTTTACTAGTTCCTCTTAGCATACAATCTTGAAGTTCTCAATATAGGGAAACGCGGGCGGAAGTATTAGATTTAACAATCGGGAGTGCTAGTGTAACTATAGTTACGTGAAAGATTGGATCGGGGGTCTCAATGGAACCTTCCTTATCAGATCACAGAATCGTCGAGTTCAAATTAGGAGGAATCACACTCCAAACCGAAATTCGAAGAAATCCAAGAAAAATCGATTGGGAACTATACCACACCAATATCGTAGACAACCTGGACCAAATAGATGCAGGTAGGGCTAGGAACCACCTGTATCTAGAATGGTACACGCAAGGGAAGTCAGTAGTGCAATATTGGATGCACATGAATCTATAGTTGTCCCACAAGTAAGGGCATACAAAAAAGTAACAACAAGCCCTGGTGGAACAAAAAGCTGGCCAATCTTAGATCGGAGGTTCGACGACTCTTCAACATAGCCAAACCCAGCGTCTAATGGCAGCTCTACACCGAGAAATTAACTGAGTATAATAAGGAGATTAGGAGGGCAAAGCGGTCTGACTTCAGATCCTTTTGCGAAAACATAACTTCAACTACTTATGCACCTATATGGCCAAGAGTGGGCCCATCCCCAACATGGCACTTAAGAAACCTGACGGAATCTACACGGAAGGAGATGAAGAGAGAGCTAACCTCCTACTTCATACACACTTTCCAGGTAGCATACCATTGATACGCAAGTAGCTCCGACCGAACCCCACAATCCTCGCAGGGAAGACTTCCCAGTCTTCCCCAATCTCCAAGACTCCCCATCTCCCGATAACCAAGCTAATAATAACAGAACAAGAACTGAAATGGGCTATTGACACCTTTCAGCCTTATAAAACAGAAGGAATAGATGGGATTTTTCCTGCCCTTCTAATGAAGGGTCAGCTACATACCATTACAAGAAGCAGCTTAGCGATGACACAGAAACTGCACAAATTCTAAACTCAACTTTGATTTTAAATTATCAACATTTTTAGAATTATCGGAAAAAACAAAAAAAAACGTCCACATATAACGCTACTAAAGTTAATGAATTTTTGTCTCTTTTAATGAATAAACAAGGTTCATGTTGTGAATGTTTATAACCCATTTTTGACAAAACTTCATTCACTCTCGCATTCCAAGCTCTGGATGCCTGTTTAGCCCAAAAACAGCTCTTCTTTAAAACGGTAACCTTATTCTCTTGATTTTTAACAACAAATCCTTCAGGTTGTTTCATATATACTGGTTGATCAAAAACGCTGCCTTTACATCAAGATGTGTAATTTCAAAATTAACTTGACTGCTAATGCAATCAACAGTCGCAAAGTAGAATGTCTTACTACTGGAGAAAACACGTCACTGTAATCCACACCCGCTTTTTGTACACAACCTTTCGCCACTACACGCGCGCGATGTTTTACGTCTCCGTTTTCACTCGTTTTGCGTTTGAAAACCCACTTGCATTGAACAACAGTTGAAGAGTCAGGTAAGTTGTCCACTAATTCCCAAGCTTCATTATCGTCAAAGCACTGAATCTCTTCACACATTGCTTCTTTCCATAGCTTAGCATCGTAACTTGCCATAGCTTCTTTCACAGTGATTGGATCATCATAAGAAGTTATCATTGCATCATCGTTAGGCATTTTCCTTCTATGTATGGCAAACATAACGTCTACAGTACGTCTTACAAATCGGTTCCATTAGGTTTATTTAAATTCTTTGAGATTTTCTTACTTCCACACATTCTTCTGTTGGTAGTTCTGTAATAAAATCTTCATCGCTGGATGAAATGATTGACTCAGCATCACTAAAAGATTCATCAGTCGAGTTATCTGGCTGACTGACCTCAGCTCCCACTGAATCTGATACTTCTTGTAGTTCATATTCTATGTTTCTTGGTTTTCTTATGCTTCCTTCAATTACTACGTCTCTGCTGATATTATTTTTCTGTCTATCGGATCATACAGTTCTATAAGCCTTTTATATTGTCCACTATACCCAACTAAAAAACATTTTCAGACTTTTTATCCCATTTCTGTTCATCTTTCTCTTTGGTACAAGTGTCATGGTTTTGCTACCAAAAATTCGTATTCCACTTACATCTGGCCTCTTGTTGAACCACATTTCATGTGGAGTTTTCTTCAATCCTGACACTACAGATCGAGTTCTGAGATAAACAGCTGTTGCTACAGCTTCCCGCCAAAATTTTTTTTTCAAGCTTCTGTGTCATATAACAAACAACGAGCTTTTTCCACTATGGTTCTATTCATCCGTTCACTCATACCATTTTGCTGCAGAGTATAAGCATTTGTTTGCTGATGCAAAATTCCTTGATTCTTATAATACTCTTGAAAAAACTTCCCATCAAACTCTGTCCCTTGATCAGTACGAAAAACTTTTATTCGTTCACCTTTATGATTTTCTACATATTCTTATAACTCCTTGAATTTTCAAAAAGCTTCATCTTACTTTTTAAGAAATATGTAAACACCATTCTCGTATAGTCATCTTCTAATATCATAAAATATCTTGAGCCTCCTATAGATGTCACTTCCATCGGACCGCATAAGTCCTCATGAATAACTTCTAAAATAGATTTTGCTCTATTGCCCTTATGATTAAACGGTAGTCTCATTTGCTTACCTTGACAACAGATTTCGCAAATGCCTGAGTCACTTTGTGATAAACTTCCTGTATAATCAAAGCCCTCAACTAAGCCATTCTTCATAGAATTCAGGTACTTGCAATTTAAATGTCCAAAACGCCTGTGCCAAATTTCTCCTGAGACTGCTAATCCTGCTACTAGTTTTGTATGTGGCTCCACAATATCTAATTTGTAAACATTTCCTACTAAACTAGCTGTAGCGACCAGTTCGTTTTTGCTATTAAAAATGTTACACCCAGTTTTGTGAAAAACAACTCTGTTATTATTCTTTATTAACTGGCTCACAGACAATAAATTAGTCATTAAGTCCGGTACGTAGAATACATCATTAAATTCACTTTAATTAAATGTTGCTTATTTTTCACCTTTGTTTTTCACTAATGTCTCGTGAGTTCTGTGTCACCACCACATTCAATAGCTAAACTATTCTCATTTGCCACTGTAATTTCCTTGACTGGAACTTCTCTTACATTTTTTAAACAATTTCTTTGAGCTGTAAGATGAGCACTGCAACCTGAATCAATGTACCAGTCTGATTTCTCAAATTTTCCAGTAAGAAAAACAGCATTAAAAGCACTAGATGTATTATCTTTACTGTAATCTTTCTTCTCTGGACATCGGTTCATAAAATGCCCCATCTTCTTACATCTATAGCAGATAACCTCACTTTTTCCTTTATTTATGTGGCGGACTTCCGAAGGTAGCAAGTGCCCGCCACAGATTGGTTGGCTCCACGGGAGGAGAGTAGCAACCTTGAATCGCCACCCAGCTGATATCTGTCAATCGGGGAAGAAGAAGGATTCTGTGGATAGACATTCGACCTTCAACATTCACGTTTCGCGCCAAGAAACCGAATTCTTATGTTTTGTAATAGTTATTTAGTTTGTAACAATTGATCGAGTTAATTAAATGACTTAATTATTTAGTGTGCCTAATTTGCTACCCGCAACGGCCACATTGGTGACCCCGACGAACGTGTGAGTGCAACAAATTCAGATACGCAATGTCCACCTCCGACACGAACGACTTTCAAACCGACGATCAAGTCGTTATTGCCCGTGTAGGGATTAAAGCACCGGAGTTTTGGCGCACAGAGCCCGAACTATGGTTCCTACGCCTGGAAGCCCAATTCAGGCAAGCCAAAATAACATCTGATGACTGCAAGTTCGATCACACCGTAACAAGTTTAAACAGCGAGGTCCTATTAGAGGTAGCCGACATACTACTAAATCCAACTAGAGGTAGGGCCTACGAAGACCTCAAAACGAGACTGTTAGATAGATATGGCAGTAGCGCTGATGACAAAATTCACCAGCTTATGGAAATGACCTTGGGCGACCTTAAACCAACACAGCTTCTCCACCGAATGCAAGCTTTGGCCTCAAATAACGTTTCTACGCAGGTTCTAAAGAAACTCTGGTTAGACCGCCTACCACCCCAAGCCCGGGGAGTCATAGCAATCCTGGATGGAGACCTGGAGGAATTGGCCAAGAAAGCTGACAAATATATACAATGTTCTAGTTTTCCTATCATGGCCATGGACGGAAAGCCTTCGTTAAACAACAAAGTAAGTTTGGACGAGAAAACTGACGGGCACTGCTACTATCACAGGAGATTTGGGTCCCAAGCTAAGAAGTGTAGAGCACCATGTACCTTCTCAAAAAACGATCAAGAGGGGGCGCAATAATCATGACAACCACTGCCCCCCATGCACCACGTCGCCTTTTCGTCTCAGATAAAGCCCTAAAACTGCAGTTCCTCGTTGACACTGGAGCCGACTTAAGTGTGCTGCCACGCAAAGCATGTTCTGCTTTAAAACCTAGTATGATACGCCTATACTCTGCTACTGGTTCCTGTATTAGAACGTTTGGGCAGAAACAGTTGACACTTGACCTTGGTTTTGGCCAGCCAGTCACTTGGACCTTTGTTGTTGCAGATGTCACTACTGCCATCCTAGGTGCTGACTTCCTCGTACACCATGGTTTCACCGTAGATATGCGAAACAAGCGCCTTGTGTGTCCAACTATACCAAGCAGCATTACGTGTGTGTCTCGACGAGTAAGCGCGTTGGAGGTGGGAATATCTACTGCCCATCCTTATGACCGACCAACGGATGCACCAGACGACCCTGGAAGAGTCCAGCACTATATCGACACCCAAGGCCCACCAGTGTTCTCCAAGCCGCGCAGGCTTCCACCAGACCGTCTACAAGCTGCACGGGCCGAATTCAATCAACTTATACAAATGGGCATTGTTCAGCCATCAAAATCGCCATGGGCTAGCCCGCTTCACATGGTCCAAAAAGCCAACGGCCAGTGGCGTGCTTGTGGGGATTTCCGTCGGTTAAATGCAATTGCCAAGCCTGATCGCTATCCAGTGCCACATATTCAGGACTTTGCAAATCAGCTACATGAAATCTTGTACATGCATTCCACCAGATCCTAGTCCGCCCAGAAGATGTACAAAAAACGGCTGTTATTACACCTTTTGGTTTGTACGAATTTCTACGTATGCCCTTTGGCTTACGTAACGCCGTCCAGACACTTCAGCGGTACCTCGACCATCTCTTCCGAGGGTGTTCATTTGTATATGTGTACATCGACGACATACTGGTAGTCTCGGAGACGGAAGCAGAACACGAGCAGCACTTAGCAGTAGTTCTCCAGATCCTAGAAGCAAATGGACTCCAAATCAACAAAGAAAAGTCCAAATTCCGAATACGAGAGGCAAATTTCTTGGGCGTCACAGTCTCCCCAACTGGAGTCAGGCCTCTGCCAGCTAAAGTCAGTGCTATTCGCAGTTTTCCGCAACCAACAACATACAAACAGCTACGTCGCTTCCTAGGGATGGTTAATTTTTATCGACGCTGGTTACCGAATGCCGCAAAAGAGCTTATGCCACTCACCGAGCTACTTTCCCACCAAAAGAAAAAGCAACAGTACCTCAACTTGACTCCAGCAGCATCAAGTGCCTTCACCAGAGTTAAAGAACTCCTAGCTACTGCTGCCGAGTTGGTTTTTCCAGCACCCCATGCTCAGTTGAGCATGTCAGTCGACGCTTCGGACACCGCGATCGGTGGTGTATTGCAACAGCTTGTCGGCGAGCACTTACAGCCTATTTCTTTCTTCTCACGGAAGTTGTCGAAGACGGAGCGTAATTACAGTACCTACGACCGCGAGCTGTTGGCAATATTTAGCGGTATTCACCATTTCCGCTACCTTCTTGAGGGCATGCCGTTCATCATATACACTGACCACAAGCCCTTGACGTATGCCTTTCAGCAGCGACATGACCGTCAATCTCCACGACAGATACGCCAGCTGGAATTTATTGGTCAATTTTCCACAGACATCCGACATGTCCAAGGAGAAAAGAACATTGTAGCCGACTGTCTCTCACGACCTGAGGTAGACGCAATAACATCACCCATCACCATTGACTTTGACCGGTTAGCTGAAGCTCAGACAACTGATGAAGGTCTACAAGAAGCTCTGCAGGACCCCAGAAGCTCTTTAAACCTTCAACACATTGTCATACCAGATAGCGAACGACCCCTATACTGTTCAATCCAAGATGGACGTGTACGTGTGTACGTGCCGGCGACCTTCCAGATGGATGTTTTCTTGAAGTTCCACGCCCAGTCCCACCCTGGACACGCTGCTACGCTGAGAATGATCGCCGAACGCTTCGTGTGGCATAATATGAACCGTCAAGTCAAGCAGTGGTCCAGAGAGTGTCTTCAATGTCAGCGGGCCAAAGTAGGACGTCATTCTGTTACACCGGTGACACCACTAGGAATGCCTGACGAACGATTTGCCCACATACATATCGACATTGTGGGACCACTTCCACCTAGTGACAATTTTCGATACCTACTCACGATCATTGATCGATTTACGAGATGGCCTGAGGCTATCCCTATTCGTGAGATAACTACTGAAGTAGTGGTACAAAAGCTCCTCGAAAGATGGATATCCCGCTTTGGTGTACCAGCGACCATTACTACAGACCGAGGCAGACAATTCGAGAGCCAGTTGTTCCGCCAGCTTAACACAGCACTTGGAGTACAGCACATAAAGACGACTGCTTATCACCCACAATCAAATGGATGTATCGAACGCTTTCACCGAACCCTCAAGGCTGCACTCGTCGCTGCTGATGTCGTATCCTGGGTCGAAGCTCTTCCCCTCGTCATGCTGAGCCTACGGAACACCTTCAAACCAGACATCGCCTGTACAGCCTCCGATTTAGTGTTTGGTGCACCAGTTCGCCTCCCTGGACAGCTATTTGTTCCAAGTGCTACCCCAACTGACGAACACCGATTTGTTCAACGACTCCGTGAGACCATGGGAGCATTGAGGCCTGTACCAACGAGCAACCACTCAGTTCGCACCGCCTATGTCCATCCCGACCTACAGACGACTACACATGTCTTCATACGTAACGACAAGGTGAAGCCTCCATTGACACCTCCATATAGCGGCCCGTACAGAGTTGTGGAACGAGATGACAAGTTCCTAACGGTGGACGTCCAGAATGTTCCCCAACGAGTCTCCATGGATCGACTGAAGGCAGCATATGTTCCAGCATCTCATCAACTGGCGGAGGAACATTCATACGCCAACCGTTTGCTGCTCAACGTATGCCAGCAGAACCGTTCACAACCAGTGGGTTCCTCACTGGGGGGAGCCCTGTGGCGGACTTCCAAAGGTAGCAAGTGCCCGCCACAGATTGGTTGGCTCCACGGGAGGAGAGTAGCAACCTTGAATCGCCACCCAGCTGATATCTGTCAATCGGGGAAGAAGAAGGATTCTGTGGATAGACATTCGACCTTCAACATTCACGTTTCGCGCCAAGAAACCGAATTCTTATGTTTTGTAATAGTTATTTAGTTTGTAACAATTGATCGAGTTAATTAAATGACTTAATTATTTAGTGTGCCTAATTTGCTACCCGCAACGGCCACATTTACATTTTTGTGCTTTCCGTTGTTGCCACTGTTACCACGACCGCTGTCATTTCGATGATTCCATTTGCCCGAAATGTTACTCGCAAACGCACTACCCGCACTTGACGTTGACGCATATACGTATTACTTTTTACAAATATACTCAGGGTTCCCTATTTAACCCCGTGTGCAATTTCTGTGCCGTAAGAAAAAGACAACATAACCCAGCTCCATATTAAAACTGCATAAGTCTATTTCACCCGGATATGGATTGAACTGCGATTGCGCCAAACTCCGATTGATTGTTGTTTTAGTTCTGTTTTGGATTCTTTTATTTGCGCGTAAAAAGAGTGATTTTGTTTAGTTTATTGTTCCAACTATTTTGATATTTTTCCAACTCCCATGATAATGTGTTATGAATAATAAAAATAATAAAATTAAAGGTTAGGGTAAATGTCAGTCAACCACTTCCCTTTAAAAACATCGACCAATGAAAACTTCTTCAGGTGAGGCATGCTCAGTTAAATGAATATGCGGGTGAAATAGACTTATGCAGAATTCCATATTGTTCTTTCACTGTTTGGGCTTCACTTTTTGGAGATTAGGCTGAGTATATTTGTAAAAAGTAATACGTATATGCGTTGACGCCCCACTAACGCCATCTAGATGCATGTCTAACAATTTTGACTTGATTGAATCTGCAGTTATGTCAATTCCGGAGTGTTCAATTGCAATAACCATCGGTTCATATTTGTCGGTTAAAGCTACATTCTAAATCAATTCGCTGGCCGAGTCGTACTTTGGCACGCAAGCTTATCATATGTACTTCAATGTAATCATTCACAACAAAATTCGACGCCAGAGTGCAAGTTGAAGTTGGATTGAAAGCTTGCAAGCTGCAAACTTCCACTTCAGCACGGAATTTTCGTTTGACAATTATGACAAATTTAAAATTTTAACAATTATTTTGTTTGTGTTGTTGTTAGCCATTTTCCTGTGAAAAAGTAAATTATTATTAAAAAATAAAATGAGTGAAATGCTAGTCCTATTTTATTAGGACGTGTGGTTTTTACAGTTGAGGGTTGGAACCTTTGGTGTTACACAGCAAAATTATGTGTAAAAATATTAATAAAAATGCGGCCAGACTCATTTGCCAATTTTGTAAATCAGTCAGGCTTGCTTTTGACTATAGTTTATGATAGTATCAAATGATACGTTAATTTTCAGGAATGGGAAAATAAGAGTTAGGTACGGATTTCAAGAATCTGTCAAGTTTATGCATCGGCAAATTTTCACCCAGGCTGACTTTTTTCCGCTTGGGATGTGCCAGACTGTTATTTTCATTAATAAAATGATTCACTTTAAGAAATGGCAAATATTTATGACTGGAAAAATAAGTGGAAGTTTTTAGTTTCTTATCTAGTAACCCATCAGAAAATTTTAGCCATACTCACAAATTGTCATTTAATGTCACCATCCGAACATACTTTTATACAGGGTGTTTCAAAAAACATGTGCCATCTCTCGTGAGGAGATTCTTCACATAAAAATAAGACATACTTTGCTTCGTAGCTACAGGATGTTAAAGTCTTAATAATTTTTCTATGTATTATAATTTCCTTCCATGTACTTTTAGTGGTTCGAATGAAATTTGGAGGGTAAAAGCTTTGATAAAAGTTTCTATAAGTCCTTATACTATGCTATAAGTGCTACATATTTTAATACTAAAAAAGTGTCCATAAATTCATCAGGGACGTGCATATGGGTTATCATTGGAATATTTTTCAAACAAAAACATGTGCGCCTGTGACTTTTTTCATTTTGTATCAAAATTGTGTAGGCCGTTTAATGCCAATTAAAAGTTACCTCTTGATATTTTGTGGAATTCGGTTTCCTTGATGAGATAAACGAAATTTTATTAATCATTTAATAACTTAAAAAATTAATAAATTATATATTTTAACTAATTTATTATTAAATATTATTACTATTAATTATTATTACTATTAGCCCACCTACAGCAATTTCAAATAAAAAAATACAGGTATTTAAGAATTTAAGATATTACAAAAAACCTAATTTTAAAAAGTTTTAACATCCTGTAATTCTAAAACTATGCATCTCCATACCCATGTTTATAGGATCTTTTTTTCATATTTTTTGATGAGGAATCAATGAATACTTATTTAGAACTTTCGCAAGTTAATAATATTCAAATTTTTAAATTGTTGCCTTTTAAGGCTTTCATCAAAACAAATTAATAAAATAGCGTTTATCTCATCAAGGAGGCCGAAATCGACAAAATATCAAGGGACAATTTTAATCGGCATTAAATTGCTTACACTATTTCGATAACAAGAGAAAGAAAGGCAGTAGCGTACATGTTTTTTTTAGAAAAATATTCAAGTGATCCATATCCACGTCCCTGGTGAATATATCGAGACTTTTTTAGCATTAAAATATGTTGCATTTATAGTAACTTTTACCCTCAAAATTT